CCCCCCCGGATCTTAATTGCCCAGCATACAAGTTTGTGGCTGCGACATTTTGAGGTTCACTGCAGAGCCTTTCCTTCATTTACAAAATAAGTTGAAAAGGTGACTGTTGGAGTTCATGTCAGGGAATGAATCTTGTTGTTTGGAAATTACACTTTTCTTCAGAAAACAGAAGTTTTTGAAGTTACTGAGCCAGGCAGAATTTTTCAAATTTAAAAAAAAAAAAAAATCAATAAAATTGTTAAGTATTAAGATCTCCAGAACTATTTCATTTTTAAATTGCTTTGAATTTTTTTTTCTTTGGTGGTTTGAGAATGATTGAAGTTTGATCTGTTGTATTCTCTGGAATATTTTATTTTCATTTTATTTTCTGTTTCATGGCCAAGACATTTCCATGTGGCCCCCACTAATGCCCCTTCTCTGAGAGTGTTGTAGGAAAGACCACCTTGCATTTTTTTCCTGCCTTTCTTAGACTTCTGTGTCATTTACATAACAAAACATCCTGAAAGATACTTGCATGTTAGTTCTGCATTTTATATAGCAACATGACTTTTGGTTTTATTCAGAAGGAGGTAGATTATGTAATCAGTTCTTTCATTATTTCTGTAACCTTTTTCTTCCACTTTACATTTGAATCTTCCCATTTAATAGCATGTCATTTCAAAGAGGTCTGATATGCATTATGTATCAGAAATCCTTACACCTTCATAAGGCAGAATACTAATTTCTTAGTAAACTGCTCTGCTGTATCTCAAAACAAGTCTTTTTATTAGTGAATTCCCAGGCAGAATATAGGTGTCCTTTATATCTTCAGTCCCCTAACTGTTTCTCTCTTTTTATCTTAATATTGTTAGTACATTAATATATGCATGAGTGGGAAATTCCTATATTTGGACATGTGTATTTCTATCTAAAGTAGATGAAAAGGAAAAAGCAATGTGAAAAATGTGGGTTGTTCGAATTCTTGACTCACTGTTATATTTTGCATGCCTAGAGTGTGGGCACATACAGCCCAGTGCCCTCCCGATCAATTCTGTTTGTAACTGTTGTATTCTTGTTTGTCTTTGCATCCCCCAGTTCCAGATGACCTATTTAGTCCTCTTGCTACTAGATTATTGGTGGGTTTTTTTTTTATCTATTTTTTTTGCAGTTGTCTAGTTAATTAAGTTTCTCTTTTTCCAGGCTTTAGAATGAGACAAAGGCAAGTGATCGTAGATCCCGTAGGTGCCCTGGCAGATTGTCCACATTTAATTGAAGCTATTCCTTGTGAAGACCCGATGTGTTATGAGTGGATTGTTTCAGAAGGAATATGTGTGACTCACCATGGAAAATGTGGACCTGGAAACCGCATGCTGAAAGCTGTATGCAAGAACAAGAAGGGTACGTAATGTTGTTGTCTTAAAAGCCCCATAGTTTTTCGTGCCTCCTTTTAAATGACATTCTGCTGCAGAGCAATTGTGATTATTTATAATAACTCCTTACTGAATTTTTATGAAACATTCAGATTTTTACATTGACTGTGGTGCTCACAAAAGCCTAGTGCTGACATTACTGGGGATTTTGCTTGGAGCTTTCTGTCCTATTTTATCCTAAAGGAGATGGCTTACCCGTACAGGTCATGTGCTGTCACTGTTAGCCTTATCACAAAAACAGTGGCGTACCAATGGCATGGTTCCCCCTAAAATCCTTTTTTTTGCACATCTTGTACTGAAGTAGGGCTGTCACTGAGGCCAGCAGCACTATGGGCTTTCACAAAATTAATCTGACCCCTACATTCCTTCTATCTTCACTTTTTAGCATGTGGTCTGGATGTTTATCGCATTACAATAACCCTCTTACAGTCATGAAAAGGGATGCTCAGTTGTGCCACCAAAATTAATACAAGAATTAGATGTAAATGAAATGATCGTACTGAGTAATACTTTACTTGGCAGCAGTTAGAAACCTGCAGTGTATTCAGTTTACAAGTTGTTAATAATGAAGAAGCGTATTTTTATATGACGTTTACAAACAACCAGCAAGAGCTTATTTCTCGTGCATGGTTTGAACCTCAGCCAAAAGTTTCATTTCTTGATAAGGTCAGTGTTGTCAGATCTTCAGATTCAATTACATGGAGCACGATTTTGCAGTCCTTAGTCACAGTGAGACTGTGCTATCATCTCAAAAATGGCAAAATTGTGGAACTTTAGAGCCTGATATTATATCTGAGATGGAGAATTCTTCTCTTACATGGTACTGAGACTGATCACGGGAAACAATTTCAAGTCAATAACAAGAGGGGTTAATTGGCAAGTGGTTAAAAATAGTGTGTCATTTACGAGGCATTAGAATCTGACAGAATGAAATTATGGCTGCTTTGTCTGAAGAGCACACATCCTCCTGAAATACGTTGAAAATATTAGATTTGCTTGGAAGTTTGTGAAATGGGGCAAAAAATATCTTCAACCATTATAAAATGACATAGCCAGAATATAGTGGAGAGCAAAGAGGTGTCTCTGAATTTTGTCTGAGTGGTCTCTTCCAATGTATGATCATAATCGTAGGTCCAATCCTGCAGTGATGTGTGCAGATGGAGTCTTGTATTGCTAAGGAGCACCATGTACTTCACACTGTTAAAACTGTGCCAACATCCATTTTTATGCTCCGACTTGTGACTCAGAAGGAAAACATATAACATGGCAGATGCTCATTGATCTCTGATCAAACTGTACTCTGTGGCTATGATCCTTAAGAAGCCATGCCTTTGAAGTGTCTCTTCTTCACTTAATTGTTCAACAAGATATTGGAGGTTTCACAGTACCCTTTTTCACTTCAATTGCTTTATGCATGGTCTAGTTAAAAAAAAAAAAAGTTGGGATATTCTTCCTGCCCTGCTGACCCGAGGCAAACATTGTCACTAGACATGATCATTGTCCATTTTTAATTGAGAAGGTTTCACAAGGAAATATCCAGATCACTTGGTAGATTAGAAGGACTGGTTGACACTAGATTTAAACTTTTCTGAATTTTTGATCCAGTAGGATAGGACTGGGTGAGTCCTTAAATTCAAAGTTGAAAAAAAAAGTCAACTTGTTTTTATTCTGTTAATCCAGTAATATTAGTTGCTTTGTTTATAACCTTTTTTTCCTTCTGTAATGTTTTCTTAACTAGATTCCCATTGCAATAAGTGGTCTATTTTCTTGGATAAAAGCTTGGAGTAAGTGGCAGAGTTGCATGAAGTGTTTTACCTGGAGTAGTTGTTTAGTTGGTAGTGGGAAGCCAGTAGGGAGTCGTGTGAAACTGTGAGACATGTCAGTTAGAGGTAAAATAGCAGAAGGCCGGTACTAATGCACAGAATTATACAGCTCAAAATTCTGTGCAAGTAACTGCTCTGCTGAAAGCATTTAGGATAGCGACGTTATGTGCTGGTATTTTCATTTCCTTAAGCATCTTCTGTAGAATTCATCTCTGTATCCTAAAATCCAGTCTTTTATCCAGTCATTCGGACACCTGTGCCTGGCAATGTTGTTCCCTATTCCCACTAAATGCCAAAAGGCATAAGAAATTACTTTTTTTTTGGACCCTGTTAAATGATAAAATCCATCATTGTCTTGACAACAGTTCACTTGGGCCTGGAGTGTGTTGATTAGGGGGATACTTTGGGTCTTCTGTGTATGCCTGTCTGCAAGATGTCTTCATTTTCATATAAATGCCAGACTTTTTGGCATGATGCTGTCTTCTTGTTGCATTGTGATAGTTCACTTCTCTTTAGAAGTTAAAAGTAGCTGCTCTGTGAGTCCTGTTTGTGTCAGCCGTACCGCAGAAGAGCTTGGCATCAATGGCTTCTTGTCCTTGCATGTCTTCTCCTCTCCCTCCATCTACAGTGTGGCTGAACCCATGACCTTTGCTAGCCCGTGCTCTGCTGTGTAATTCTGGGCTCCATGGTTCAGAGACCTGAGGCCTTTTTCATGGGGAGATTGATTTTTCCCTTGCCAGAAATGAGCTTTAATTATATTGACTGCAGTGGGAGGGATCTGGCCGTGTTTTTCACTCTTCCCTCCCATGGTAGAGGACTTTGCTGCTGCCAGCAGAGCCTGGATGATCCTTTTGGCCTAAACTTCCTTCCAGCAAGGTGGAGCTTGGAGGTGCATCTTTGTGTCTGATATGTGTTGATAGAGAAGGCATTAGCCCTTCTCTGTCCCACTTCTGGTTTCTCCAATGCCTTTCTCCCATGCCACATCTCTTGCACACTCGTGGTGCCAGCCCATGTTGTGAGAGAGGGTTGGGAGGAACCTGTTTGGGAGGGGAATCAGGAGCAGTGGCTAACTAAACTCTTTCTCCAACTGAAACCCCACCTTGGGAGCCCCTTGTAGTGTTGTCCTTTCTTTACATTTTAAAAAGCTAAACTAAAACATCAGTATATTATCAACATTCTTCTCATAACAAATCCCACACTGAAACCAAATCACAGCACTATTCTAGCTACTAAGAAAAAAATTATCTCTATCCTAGCAAAACCAGGACAAAAGCCATCCTTTCTGGTGAGAAGATTTCGTGGTACTGGCCCAGGTAACAATCTGCTGCTGGCCTGAGCTGGAGCTTGAACAGCTCAGGAGAGAGTCAGACATGGGTCCGACTGCAGCTTGCAGGGTTTCTCTGAAGACTTCCCTGTCAAAGCAATATCTCTTTAGAAGGGCTTGTATGAATTTCAGTGCTGTAGCAATCTTCCCTTTGGTCTAGAGGTACAGAAATTACTTTATTTCTTAGATAGGTTAAAGTAGGGGATCCATAATGAAGGGGTCTCCATGGGGCACATACCATGTACAGCATTTTTTCGTGGAGTAGCTGGAGTCTGTAATTTGTGATTTGCAGCAGTTAGCATAGAGGAGAAGGAATAAGACCATAATAATCTCATTACTTTGTCATTCTTGATGTCTATCTGCTCCTGCCTAGTGGTGTCTCTAATCTCTGTTAATAAGTTATTGAACATGCATATAATGCTTACAAGAAACTCTTAGTGTCTGGTCCATACCTCTCGAGTGCGCCTCTTCTGTAGCATCAGAAGACAGTAGTGTCATAAATCAAATGAAATTAAATAATGTGTAGAAATGCAATGAAATAATGCATAGAATGGGAAAAAAACTTATATTGCTTGCTTCTTCCTAACAAAATTTTTCAGCAAAGTGTTTTTTATTTAGCTAGTGAAGGACAACAGATACATTTGGGGAAGTGTGCGAAGCCAAAAGAATAGTACAGAAAAATGGATCATGAGCCTAAAAATTGGATTATGTAACAGTATCATTGGGTACATGGATCTATAATTCAGATAAATAATTTATTTGAAAACTTTTTTTGTATTCACAGATAACCCAAGAATTATTTGTCATTTCTCTCTGAGTTGTTGTTTTAGACTGTTCAACAAGGAATTGAATAATCTCCTGTTGGTAATGTAATCTCCTGTTTGTAATGTATTCTTGATCAGATACTTGCAAGTATTTGACATTTGAATTTGGGCAGTCTTGATTAGAACCGACAAACATTACTGTGCATTGATCAGATGAAAATAACTCTCTGAAAACTTTCCAGTTCACTTGTTCACCTTAAATGTTGCTGTTCAGTAGATACAAAACCATGAACAGTCAAAAGCCAAAATGTATTGCATTTCATTTTTTGAAGACAATGACCAAAGTGATCTTTTGTGTGCTCTGATTCTTACATCTCTGTGAAATGTACAGTGGTGAGAAAAAGGGAATTCAGTGTTGTGGTAGTGTGCAGAAAACTGCAGATAACGTGAGGCAGTGGGACTTGGCTCAGGGTCAGCAGGTAAAAGTTCAGTCTAAAGAGGAGTTGGTGTGCCTTCGTAAGGAGTTTCCCAGTCTTTTGATTTAGATGCTAAGACAATGGAATTAACATTTAAATGTTGTTGGGTTCAGTCTGATGGAGGAATTTGGGAACCCTTTTTATTGTTATTTTCCATACCTGTTTTAGGTTGTATTAATAATATGGAAATAGATTGAAACAAGACAAATGTTGAACCTAACTGTGGTTTTTAGAAATGCACATTATACTCCTGTAGCCTGTGAACAGAGCAGTGATTATGATGAGGAATACAGCCTCGTTGCACTGAGAACATGTAGAAGGAGCTACAACAATAAATTCATGAAATAACAAGTATGACTCATAAAAGTAACAATTCATTTTCCAAGCATTTTATAAATGTTTCTGACTGTACTGTAAACGAAATCTCACCTGTTAGCAATGCTCTTGAATAGACTGTAAAATGTTATTATTCAGAATCATATCCGCAAGTCGTCAATCCACTTTGTTATAATTCCCATGTCATCATTTATTAATTTGCTTCTGCTTGTTCTGATTCCTACCAGAAGAACTAATGGTAACAG